TTCAAAGGAGATCAGGTAAAAAGCCCCACTTGCTCTGGAACTGATTTTGAAGTGGGGTTTCAAAACCTCTGCCTTCCCTTATTCTGATTATACGAACGAGGGAAATAGTGATTCTCAGTCTAACAGTTTTGTTTCTTTTAAAATATCAGCCATGTGAACCTACAGTTTGAGAGAGACCTCTCTTTGGAAAATATTTGGTCATTTGTTTCTGAGCTGCATATAAAAGGCTCGATCGTCCATAATGGATAACACACTTGTTAAATTTAAAATATTTTATTTCAGGAAAGGTACACTTAGATTTGCTTCAATCTCGTTTTCTATATTCTCAAATTAATCATGATCACCTTAGATAAAGCCATTGATCCTTCTTTGTAAATCTGTATAAAAAGGATGCGGGTTTTTTTTTGTTTGTTTGTTTGTTTTGAAAAACCACGAGAAAAATACAGCTACTTTCTTTTTGTCCAGGTCAGTCACTCCAGTTAGATTGCACATTGAAGTCCGGCAGCCATCAGCTATTTTTAAGTATTTACAGGCATAGTTAAAACTACACCCTTAGACCATCAGCCTTCAAAAAAATTTAGATCTGTTTGACTTAACAATAATTATGTACCAAACATACGAACAATTTCAAATCTGCTTATGAAGAGGTTTTAAAAATTGCTAGCATTTATGAAGCAGTTTCTAGGTCAGGCATACAATAATTGCTTTAAACAAAGCCACTTCATTCTTTCAGAATTCCTTTGAGGTAGGGTAAGTTCTTTTAAAATGTCACTTCGATTTAACAAGAACAAGCAAGGCTGGAAGACCATCAGTGAGGGACCCGCCCAGGGCCGCACAGCTAGAGAGCGAGGCCAGCGCCTGCTCACCGGCCAGGGCCCCGTCCCCACACAGGATATGCTGGCAGACGCAGCCGGCTGACATGACAAGGCCACCGATCTGGGGTACGCTGCTCAGTGTGGGGCCTGCGGCTCAGGCTACAGAGAACCTCGATCCCCTTTTTATAGCCACGCATGCACGTTCGTACATAACGCAGAGAAGCTGCAGGTAAGCGCACGTCCAGTCACCATCACGGCCATTTTACTACTTACAGATGCCTCCGTGGTCTCACCCTTTCCAAGTGGCAGGCTCTGTGCCCTCTCGGTTACTAGGGGATCTGCTCGGTCGGGAGAGCCCCCTCCTCCACACTGCTTTCGGTGTGCTGCTCCCCCCGCATCGCTCGGCAGTCCCAGCTTTTTGTTAAGGAAACCCACCTGACGTGGTACAAAGAGCTGTTTTCCTTGACAAAAGATGTAAAGTTTAAATCAGGTATTTTTGAGAATTCCTTAGTGCTGTGCCTACACTTGGCGTAAGCGCGGTCAACCTTCATCCCATTCTCCCAGACGGCTTCTGAGCCCGTTAGCACTGATCGTTAGCAGTGGGGTACTTGCAGGTAGACGTTTAACAACTGGCTCTCCCGGGGGGAGAGAAAGGGGAGGATGTGTAGCCTCTGCCAGTTCCTATGGGGTGAATCCTCCCACGTGGCTGATCTCGGGCCACCAGACACGTTACCACTGAAAGCGCATCTGGGAAGAGATGGACAGAGCCACACCTCCGTATCCTATTTCCCCTGTACAGATACAGTACGCTTAGATACCTTCAAGGAAGTGATGAGTTTTGAGTGGTTCTTTCCCTTGTCTTTAACGGAATTGTTAACTTTCTATAAAATCTCATGTTTAATACTGGCCGAGTTTTAACAACTAGCTCTCAAAAGGAAATGTTAACGACCGGCTTTTATCAGCTAGTACGAGCCAGCCCAGCATACCACTGAATTAGTGTCCCAAAGATAGCAAGATTCGACTTTTCCTTTCGATGTTTTAGATTTTAAACGAACTACGGATATCAGCAACGGGAATTTGAGGGACCGTGGCTTACCAAAAAGTAAAAAGCACATAAATTATTTGAGCATGCCAGGAACTAACTTGGGGTTTGTTTTGACTGATTTCAAATATATCTACAGCAAGCAGTGATCATCGAACTTTACAATTTCAACCTGTTCTTTCAAACTTCAACGAAAAGTGATATTCAAACCCAGGGGATGGTCCATGCAGGAGGTGGTCGGTGGCCAATGGAGTGAAGCATATGGCTGTCTTCTTCCTTCCCATCGGGGTATCCTGGACACCTGTTACCAAAGGTCCGAACCGGGGGAGAGGAAGGTAACTTGAATATCCATCCAGTAAACTGCTAATGATTTTCCCAGTCCGTTCAATTTCTTCTACCTAACCAAGTATTTGTGGAAAAGATCCGAGCCAACGCGTGGAGAGATCGCCTCCAGGGCGACCCCCAATTTCTTGAACACTTTGGTCTGTGCTGGTGCTCGAGAGGCCGGCCGTCTTCGCCTGCCCCCTTCCCCCAGTTTTACCTCTGGTAGCACTCTGGGCTTTCCATTCCCAGTGCTTTGTCCTGGGTAGGAACTACAACAGAAAAAACAGGTAGCATGCGTCAGCAGCTCTGATTAGCTGCGGCAATTACTCATTCCGAGAGCTTCCCCGGGCTTTTGCTTTTCCCATCCTATGGCTCCACAGGGAGAACAAGCAGAAAGTCAGACTTACTGGTTCTGGCAAACTGTTGGTGGAGGGAGTTCGTTGAGACTCGCGTCTGGGGCTCAGGGAATATAGGTTTCTTTTGGTCTCCCACCAGTAGGGAACTCACTGGGTGTTACTCATTGGATAGTCACCAAATAGTTCTCGAATGTGTGGCCTAAATGAAGGCTCCATGCTGAGTGCTAGGCTAGACACCAGCTGGTACCGGCCACCTTGGAAGTGGGGCTACAGTTAGTGCTGACCGGGGTGGGGGGGGGGGGCGGTGGCGGGATTGCTCTCCTTGGCTTTAAACTGAGTGGTCGTTTGAGAGATTGGATTGCAGACACCCATTCCTTCAATTGTTTGGTGATCATGTTGCTTTTATGGAGAGGATGAGGGCTCCGCTTGGGCCCCTTCTCTTAAGAACTGGCTACGTGCACAGCTGATACAGTGCCTGGGACTCTGAGATCTCTGGGCAGAAAGGCTGGGAGGCTCAGAGACATAAAAATAGCCTCGGGACACCCCCTGCCTTGGGTCTCCAGGAATGAGACTATTCTTAGGAGGTGTCTCTGCCCCAAAGGAGCTTTTCTTTGCCACTTGGCCTGGAGGACCTCTTTTTGAAAAAGAAATTGGGACTAGAGTCAAAATCCCAAACTGCAAGGAGATGGCCAATTAGGCCTCTGGGCCGTGGCCCAGCCAAGGAGGCAGAGGCCGCCTTTCAGGGCCCCACACGGGCTGGAAAGGGAATCCTGGCCCGTGGTCCCGCGGCATGGTGGGATACAGGAAGCCAAGTTCACGATCCGTGCCCCTCTCCTGATGGAGAAACCATGAGTCAGCCTATCCCATTCCCTCCTGCCCTAAGAGTCCAGTGCGGACAATCGCATGGCAAAGCAGGAAGAGGGGAAAAGGAAGCTGTAGAAAAATAAACACTTCCTCGCACTTTACTTGGAACAGAACAGTATTTGTGGCGTGCTACGATCTACAGCATCTCCCACAGCCTCGCCTCACTTTGTTTTCCTCCTCTTGTGTAGCAACAGATTCTTTCCTTACCTGATGAGAGTCCAGAGTGCATCCTGTGGAAAAACAGGAGCAAGACATAGAAGGTAAAAGCCAAGCAACCAAAGATCACGCCACAGACCAGGAAGCTATAGCTGCCCTGGGCCTGGAAAATCTGCCAGAGGGGAAAACACAGAGACGCAGGCCGTCAGAGCCTCACAGGAAGGCGCACTGGAGGAAGCAGCTTTCCCCGACCCCCCGGCGGGCTCCGCAGTCAGGTTGAGGCCCGTCACACCGACGGGCAGGGTGGTGAGTAGGAGGGACGTCTTGGCCTCGTTTCAAGGTTATGTGTCTGGAGGAGGCAGAAATCCTGCTCGTGACCCCTGCGGTCCCTTTTCGCTCTGTATCTGGAAGCTTCTGAAAATCTCTCCATCTTCCTTAAAACTCCGGTCAGACCGTGTCTATACCCACAGGGCCGAACCAGAACTCTGCAGAGGATGTGTATAGACCTATGTCTATCATGGAGAATTTAAAACACAGGCCAAAGGAGCTTACGGAGTTCCCCTGGGCCCGTCACCCGACTAGCAATTAGCACCTCCGTGCCCCTCCACTGTCCCCTGCACTAGATCACACTGAAGCAAACCCCAGACCTCACGTCATTTCCATGCGGAGTGTTGTCAGGAGGTGTAGCTCTCCTCCCGGCAGGGCACAAGATCAGGAAAGGAGGGTTGGGATTAGGGGCATCTGGGAGACCCAAAGACCTAGGTTTGAATATCCTGTCAGTTTGTAGAAGTATGACTGACCGAGGGCAAGTTGCTAATTTATCTGAGCTTCAATATCCTCCTTTGTAAAAGGGGGCGTAGCAACAGCGCTAGAAGCTTCAAACAAAGGCAGATGTATTTTTTTCCTGGTGCACCCGGGAGGACGGGTACGTCTGAAGAGACGCGGGAGGGCTGGCCCTCGATGAGGGCAGGACTTGGGCAGGAAAGCTGGGCCCTGTGTAGGGTGGCCAGAGGCTAGGGGAGCTGGGGTGGGGACGGTAGGTGGAGAAGAGGTGGGGAAAGAGCTCCCGCCCGCCACTCAATCCCATCCCAGGCTCTGGGAGCTGAACGACATTCCCACAGGGCCCCGCTGGCCCCGCTCCCAGACATGACTTGTGTTTGCTTTGGACCGTGCCGCACCTCCCTTCACATCTCCAGGTCTCACATGCAGAAGCGGAAACAGGTAACGGAGGGGGGCCCTGCCTGCTGTGTGGGACCCCCAGGGGAGGGACAGCTTGGGTTCAGAAGGTGGCTGGCTACATCTTCCCACCTGCTTGGAGGGGGGCTCCCCAAATGCCGTCCCCTGCCCCTAGGGTCTCCCACATACCGAACCAACCAGCATCTGGAGAACCATCTCGCCAATTCCTGCCCCTGTCACCAGCACTGTGGTCGCACAGCCTAACCAAAAGAGAAGGATTTGGGTTAGTAAAAGCAAGTTAAGGAGACAAGTCAGCTGGTACAATCCCGGCTATTTCTGGGGAGACCCTGGAAAATGGCGTGACTGCCTAAGAGGACGAGTTCGAATTCCTAAGATTTCTCAGGCCTCAGTCCTTAACTTTGCTTTGGGAATGCTTAGGTCCTGCTGTCAGTATAGTTTCACTGTTCTAGAACTTTCAGTCACTCAGGGTTGTCTTCAGGGTAACTTCCAAATTGCTTAGCCTGGCATTCGGGGGTCCTTCCAAATCTGACTGCCCCCTACGTTTCCGCAAAGATTCCCTGATCTCCTCAGGCCAGCCCTCTCTTCCAGGCAGACCAGTGTCCTCACTGCCCTGGCATTGTACTGACCAGCCACACCTCCACTCACTCTGGCAACAGGGCACAGACCCCCTGAGCCCAAGCTTCAGAGTCAGACTCGGGTCCCAAGCCCAACTGTGTTACCTACCAGCCGTGTGACCTTAGGCAAGTTCTCCCCCCTCTCTAGGCCTTGGTTTCCTTTCTGTAAATGGGCATGGCAACACCTTCTCCGCAGGGTTGCTGTGTGGTGAATTTGATACACCACTTACTAAGTGGTAAGTACTTAGCACAGTGCTGGACACAGTGAACTCCCGAACCCCTGCCAGTTCTCTGCTTAACCCCTTCAACGCTGCCTTCAGGATAAAGTCCAAATGCTTTCATGTGGTTTGCAGGGCCTGGTCTCTGCTGAGAGCTCAGACTCCCATCACACCCGCTCACAATCCACCCTCCCGCCAGGAGGACGGTCTCGCTTCCTGCCCTGCACACTCGTGCTCACCGCCGGGTTCTGACGCTTGCGTTGCCTCCCTCCCTCCTGAGCGGTCCTCTTCCTCCTCCCCTTTGTGGGCCGAGCCCCTGTTCATCTTTGAAGTTTCTCCTTTAGACTTCCTCCAGGAAATCTCCCCCGTCCCTAACCCTGCGGTAGCTGCTCTTCGTGTCCCGCGGCCCTCCACCCTTCCCCCAGGTACCCCACTGTTTGCAGGGTAGCCTTCCCCTCTGCGCTGCGAGCCCACGAGAGGGGACTGTGCCCTGAATTGTATTCAGTGGCATCCACTACTGCTTATTATTAGCCCAGTGACCAACATATGATAGATACTTAATGCTGACTGATTGATTACTAAAACAGAGATTATCATTCCCTGCTTTAGGCTTCAAGTTCCTCTTTTGGTCTGGCTCACGTGTACATTAGTCTCTATGCCTTTGCTGTCACTTTGTTCACTGCCCCTGCCCCACTCTTCCTTGGAATGTCTTCCCTTTTTCCTTCTGCCTTTCCAAATCCTGGGCCAGCTCACGTCCCATCTCCTCCAGGAAGCTATGTGTGGATTCAACACTGGTCACTCCCTTCTCTGAATCCCAGTAGCACCCACTGTCTATCCCACTCATTCATTCAAAAACCCTCCCGTACTTTCTGGGCATCAGGTACCGAGCTAAACACCGAGTAGTCAGATGAATAATTAGAGTTAACGTATGTTTTGAGCACCTGTGAGTCAGTTAAGCTGCTAAGTCAAGTGTTTTACGTTTCGTCAAACGCACAAACAATCCTAAAGATAAGTATTTGCGCCCCCGTTTTGCAGATGAGAAAGCTGAGGCTCAGAAAGGGGAAGAAAATTGAGAAAATGGTCTCAAGGCCAGAAAGTGTGCAGGCAAGACTCACATCCAGGTCTGCCAATGACCTCAAAGCCTATGCTCTGGCCCTCCTTCCCTGCTGGTGCCCACAGGGAGCACATTGCTGAGGAGAGGGCACAGATAACATAGGTACAGAAGCCATGAGGGTCAAACAAGAGAGGCAGGTACAAAGGAGAGGGACACATCTTTCCAGGGGGAATCAGAGAAACTTCCGGAAGGGGTAGAGAAGGAGGGACTTGAGCAGGCAGGTAAAGGGGCCAGACGGAGTAGAGCGGGCACTCCGGGCAGAGCAGAGCTTTTGTGCCATCAGGGACTAGCAAGTAATTCAGCATGGCCAGGACGCAGGCCCTGAGTACAAGAGGTGGGCAGGGGAGGCTGGTGAAAGGAGAAGATCACCACCGGAATATGCAAAGGCCGTGACTGTGTGTTTCACGGGGACCCCACTGCAGCAGGTTGGAGACCCGCCGCTAAGTGGTCCCACCTTGGCTGCGCTTCAGAGCCTCCCAGTGGCTCCGGACCAATTACGCCAGGTGTCATGGAAACAAAGCCCAGGCCTCTGGTTGTGTTATACGCGCTCTGGGTGATTTTAATGTGGGACCAGCACTGAGAACCGCCACCGAGGGAGGCAAATCTGAAGGGCACAGGCCAAGACCTGCGGAGGCAGCGATGGAGGTGATCAGAGACTGGAAAAAACGGGGCACCGTGAAATATTCCAAGCAGGCACGTCCTGGGAAAGGCCTGAACTGCGGTAGGGATGGTGGGAAATGAGAAGAGAGCAGATCTGAGTGACCACTTATTATTATTCTCCAACATTTGGCTTACTTAATGAACTTATTTTTAAGTAGGCTCCACACCCAATGTGGGGCTCGAACTCACGACCCCGATGTCAAGAGTCACATGCTCCGCGGACTGAGCCGGCCAGGCGCCCGTGTTGTCTAACATTTGTTGACCACTTAAAACTCTGGGATCCACCGCGTGATGTGTGATGCCAACGTTAATTCACTGCTTTCGTCTACTCACTGGGGTTTGGAGATCATCCTTAGATCTCGCGGATCCAGGCCTGCCATCTCTTGTTACTGGGGATAACTGCGCTGGTTTTGGCTCTAACTGCTCCTGACCGCCCCCCCCCCCCCATACACCATTTCCTCACTCCTCCCTAAAGAAATCACTCCTCCTCAATGTTGGTTTTCCGACACCCCAGGGCACTCTAGCTACTTCTAAGGGTAACGTTAAATGTTCAAAACATAATTATTTTTAATGAACCCATTTAAAGAAAAAAAAAAGGATCATTGCTCATTGCTACACGCGGTGGGGAGGCTACAGCAGGGGAGGGAGATTACTGATAAGTTATCAACCCCCTTCCTATGCCCTAACTTTTCCTGCGCAACTTTGCTGGTCTCTGAACTTGGGATTTCCAGCACACCCGTGTTTCACAAAATGCCAGCTGTGCCTCAGGAGGCACTGCCGTGGGAGAAAAGAAAACGGGAAAGAGAAGCTTAAGGCTTCTCAGTGGCCTGAAATCACATGACACGGGCATACTGTTGAACGGGGAACTCCACGTGGGTCAGAACCTTGCGAACAAGTTCCCACCCGAGTCAGGAGGGCGGGGACCTGGCTGGAATACCACAGAAAAGATGGGGCGTCGGGGGAGGAAGCCGCACCCAGCCAAGGGGGGGGGGCGCTCTTTGCTCTGCGCCCCAGCACACCCACCTTTGTACTGCAGAATGTCCTCAGTGTAGGCCAGCATGCTGGGGAAGGTGCTACTGAGGAACAGGCCCAGGCTGGCTGTCCCCACGAACAGGAAGACGACGTTGTAGGAGAAAACGAGAAGCACGAGGAACGTCACCACCACGCCCACCTTTTAACAGCAGAGAAGGAGGCTATTAGGAACTGGGAAAAGCTGGGCGTCCCGCTCCTGACTTGGAAAGCTCCTCTCGGACCCCAGAGCAGCGCTGTGTGACCAGGGCGCCTCCCTGTGGACTGTGTGGGAACTGCACCTTCCCCAGCCGGGTCTCGGCCAAGGATGCCCTGGGGGATGAGCCGCCAGGACCGCTAGGCAGAGGGCGGGCCATACACACTTGAAAAGCGCTTGGTGAGGCAGTACTGCCAGTCCCTCAGGTCTTATCTTGGAGCACGGGGAATTCCAGCCACGCCACCAGCTCTCTGCCCTCCACTCCTCATGAAGAGGAGCTGCTTTTCTGGCCCTAAAAGCCATGCGTTTGCAGGCAGCAGGAGGGGCTGGCTGGGGAGGGTGTGGGTGTCTGGGTCCCCACGCTCTGGGAATCCAGGCAAACCTCCCAGACGGAGGGTCCGTGACTGTGGCCCGGTTCCCCGGTTTCAGCTCAGACTCCCATGAGCAAATTCCAGCCCGTGGTTAGAGACTCTTGTGATGGATTCGGGGACCAGAGATCTTCCTGGTTCAGTAAGGGTCTCTGTCACACGGGCATATTTTTGTTAAGTGCCGCTTTTTCTAAATCCCTTAAAAAGGTTTTTATGTCAATATTGAAAAGTTTCTAGGCAAAATGCCTCTGGGAGGAAACTTAGGCAGCCCGGGTCTGGAGGCAAAAGACCAAGTCTGGGGCTTTGAAGTCCTTGATCTCTCTAGCCTCCTAGTCCACGAAATGGGTTACAAAAGCTACACAGAAGAGTGGTAGGAAAGTGATGGCAGCGCAGGGTCTCCTCAAGTGTGACTCTTGCGACAAATATCAGTCTTAGTGTTTGTGTGTGCGCCCTCCCTGATGTCTCCAGACACAAGGATCTTGCATAGAAAACCATGGTTTTCAGGTGAGCGTCTCCTGGGTGAGTACCTCTGTTTCCAGAAAAAAGAAAGATAGAATTACATAGCAGAGGGCTAGAAGGTGTGTAAGAAACACATCCATCCCCACCCCCACCCCGGCCGCTTTGCAGATGACCTGAGCGTGCCGAGGGGAGGGACGGTCACACTCACAGGCAGATCCCGGGGATTTGCTCCAGCTGGAAGAACCAAGCCAGTGATCGCAACCCGCGAGCCCCCTCCCTTTACGCTTCTCTACCAGCCCCTCCGTCTCTGCTGCAAGATCTCTTGGTCCGAGACCCGAGACCTAGCGAAAGACTTGCTGCCCCGGAGGGGGGTGTACCACAAATGGCGGCTGAGGGGAAGACACCCTCTTCACAATGGAGAAGCAGCGCGAAAGACTTCTTTCACGCAGTACAAACGCGACAGAGGCGGACATATCCAAGGTTCCAAGTAAAATGTATTTCTTTGGCACGGAAAATGGCCCCACAGCTTCACTGCTCTTCCTCCTCTGCTCAATCTTTAAATGTTGGCATGGCCCCAGACCCTTCTGGCTCTTTGTCTGTGTTCCCTGTTGGTCCGGCGCCATGGTTTCAAATATCTCTACGCCCAGCCGCTTAAATCCATCCCTCTGGCCATGACCTGTGTCCAGAACTCCACTGGACGACTGACAGCCTGGTCCAGACAGAGCCCGGCCTTGCCTCCAGCAAACACACTTCCCTGCATCAGTGAAGGGCATCCCCATCCGCCCCGTGGTCAGGCCCTGTCACGAAGGTATGTATGTCCTTGATCTTGTTTCCTCCTTCTTTCCACCTTCAGGCCAAGGGCAAGTCCTGTCAACTCCGCCCCCAAAACGCCGTGCACCCTTGTACCTTTCCACACCCATCCCGGACCACTCTCTTGTGCCTGGACTATAGGAGTGGCTCTTCATTGTCTCCCTTCTAGATCTATCCACGCTCATACAGCACAGGGCAGCGTGCTTCAAAGCAGATCTGTGCTCGCTTCGGCAGCACATATACTAAAATACAAAGCAGATCGGGGGCGCCTGGGTGGTTCAGTCGGTTAAGCAACCGACTTCAGCTCAGGTCATGATCTCACTGCTTGTGAGTTCGAGACCCACGTTGGGCTCTGTGCTGACAGCTGGGAGCCTGGAGCCTGCTTCAGATTCTTTGTTTCTCTCTGCCCCTCCCCTGCTCACATACTGTCTCTCTCTCTCTCTCTCTCAAATATAAACATAAAAAAAATTTAAAATAAAATACAGAGCAGATCATGTCCATTCCCCGCCTAACACCTTCTAAAGGCCTGCTTTTCTCCCACTTGGAATAAAACCCCAAACCTGGCTTACAAGACCTTCCAGGCTCTAGCCCCTGTCTGCTTCCCCAACCTGTTCCCTCTCTGCTCCCCACCACAGACCCTGCCCCACCCCGCTCTCACCCAGTTAGCTCCCCCCTTGGGCCTTGCAACCAGCAGTGCCATCAGCCAGGAACCCCGACTCCTCTGCCGTTCACACCGATGGCACCTTCTCAGTTGTCAGCTCTCAACTTAGACGTCGGGGGCAGAGCCGGCGGAGATTCTGCTCTTGCTCCCCTCCTGCTGCCTTGGCACCCCCTTTACACATCACACGTTTGCAGGCGGGCCTTGATGAGCCACGCTGAAAATCTCCAGACTTGGGCGAGCTTTAAAAACACCTCTTATTTTAGCCGGGGTGACCTAAGACGGAGCGCGCATGCCCAGGGCGAACTAGCCCCTCCTCCCACTCCTCCCACTCCTCCCACTCCGTGAGGCTCCCCCCACCCCCCCACCTGCTTCTCACCTGCTAACCACGCGCCTGCTGACCTGACCGGCCCTGCAGGGCACGCCCCACTCCCCCTCCCCTCCCCTCCCCTGCCCCTCTTCTTCCCTAGCCCCCTAGCCAACCATAAGCTCCCCGAGGCAGAGCCCCGCCTTGTACAACTTGGTACCCCTGCACTTGCCCACAGGCCCTGCACAAAGTGCCTGTTCCTTCACCAGGAAGTGGTTGTCGAGACCCAGGAGAACAGAGAGCAGGGTGACTGTTAGTTTAAAACGGAGAGGAGTGAATCGGCAGCATGAGGGGAACTTGCTCGCGGCTGTTTACCTGTAATCCTGCCAGGGTGCCCGCCAAAAGCACCTGAAAAGGTCTGAAAACAATCCAGGCGCCAAGGCCCCTCTCCACACCCCGAGTCACAGTCTCCGGGGGAGGGGCCCGGAAATCCGTATCTTCCCAAACCACCACTAATGTATTTGGGAGTCACTTGTTCCAAGACACTGTTTTCCGAAATCTGCTTGGTGACATGAACCCCCTGGGGTGTTGGTTAAATATACAGATCACTAGGTACCTCCCCTGGACCTTCCAGTTCGTGAGGTCTGGGTTGGGCCCAGGAATCTAGGTTTCCTTTTAGAACCCAGCAGTCCAGGGGCGCCTGGGTGGCTCAGGCGGGTAAGCAGCCGACTTAGGCTCAGGTCATGATCTCACGGTTCCGGGGTTTGAGCCCTGCGTCGGGCTCTGTGCTGACAGCTGGGAGCCTGGAGCCTGCTTGGATTCTGTGTGTGTCTCTCTCTCTCTGTCCCTCCCCTGCCCGCACTCTGTATCTCTCTCATGCCTGTCTCTCTCAAAAATAAAGAAACATTAAAAAATTTTAAAAAGTAAAAAACAAAACCCAACGGTCCGGGTGAGTTTTTCTCATCCGCGCCTGTCATGTGGGTGCTTCAGATGCTTTTCTTCCTCCAAACTCAGAGTCCCGCCCCACCCTCCTCTGTCTAAGCAGCTGCCCTCGGGTCCTGCAGAGGCCCCCAGTAGTACACGTACCCGGAGCCTTCTGCACCCCAGGACTCGTGCAGACTTGATCCTTCCCGGCAGTATCATGTTGGCCCTCTTCTTCACTGAGATGACACTCCCTTCTCCACTGCTCTTCCCTTCGGGTGCGGGGGGGGGGGGGGGGCCCGAGCCCTGCTCTCTGACAATGGGACCTCTCCCTCCAGGCTCCCTCCTTTTCTCCTTGGCCTCCAGCTCAGGACCATTTGCAACGGTCACACCTCCGCTTCCTGTCCGGCCCTCAACCTCTTGAGTTCGGCTTCCGCTCACACCGCCTCCCCTCTATGTCGAACAGAAATTTCTTTCAGGGGCATGGGTGGCTCTGTTGGCTGAGCATCTGACTTTGGCTCAGGTCACGAGCTCACTCTCTCTCTCTCTCTCTCTCTCTCAAAATAAATAAAGAGGGGTGCCTGGGTGGCTCAGTAGGTTAAGCGTCCGGCTTGGTCTCAGGTCACGATCTCACTGTCCGTGAGTTTGAGCCCCACGTCGGGCTCTGTGCTGACTGCTCAGAACCTGGAGCCTGTTTCAGATTCTGTGTCTCCCTCTCTCTCTGACCCTCCCCCGTTCATGCTCTGTTTCTCCCTGTCTCAAAAATAAATAAAACGTTAAAAAAAATTAAAAAGAAAGAAAGACTAAAAAAAAAAGTAATTTCTTTCTTAAAAGTCATCAACCAGCACAAGGTCAGATATAAAGGCTTTTCTTGGCGCTCACGATCTTTGGTGTCTATAGCCCCAACATTATTTCCGAACCCCCTTGCCGCTAGAAACTTGACTCAGGGAAGTACTTTCTGGCAGTGGATCGGGCTGCCTGGAAAGGGAGTGAGTTCCCAGTCACTGGAGGTTATTAAACAGACTGTGGACTCCCTGGAGGGGATGTTACAGAGGTGATTTGAGCCCTGGAGGGAGGCTGGGCTAGACGACCCTAATCTGTAATCTGGACGCTTTGTCATAGATAGTGACATGGACCCACGTCAGGTCGAAAGTCTGACCCCATCGCTTGGGCCTGGAACCCCTGCCTTCTGGGCAGACCAGTTCCCTGAATAACACCCTACATTCCAGCCTGGTACTTGAGAATCGTTTGGCAGAGTTTCAAAATGCAGATTCCTAGGCTCCAGCCCAGACACGGTGATTTCTGAAGGCCAGGGGATGCCTGGCCTCCGCTGGCCATGGGGCTCTGACCAGCTGGGCGTCAAGGTCACACAGGAGGACCAAGGCCAGCACCCACTTCACTTGTACTCTGGGCAGACTGTCAGCTGACGGCCCCTTTCTCTGATGGGTACAAAATCAGAGGCCCAGAGAGGGAAAGGGATTTTTCCAAGGTCACACAGATAGGCTCCACCTTCTGGATTCCCCCCTTCCTCACCGGCATCTCTCTCCCCGCTGCTCTCCTCCCTCTACTCCTGCATTCCCTCCCTGTCCAGTCCCGAGCAAATGTCCTGGGGCGGTGGTAGGGCCAGGAGTGGATGGTCCTCCTGCGTCTCCAAGAAGTGAAAGGAGGCCACTTACCACATTGACGAACACCATGGTGGCTGGCTTCACTTTGGAGGAGATGGGAATGGAGATGAGCCGACCCAGGGTGATGAAGCCCCAGAAGAGGCTGGGGAGGTAACCAGCCACCTTGTGCCCCACAGACAGCGGCTTCTCCACTGCATAGCTGTATACAAAGGCTGAGTACTCCCCCTGTGGAGAGACGGGCCCTGCTGAGCACACCTGCGGCACAGCTGAGCCCTCAGAGAAGGAAGACCAGGTCGGGGCAGGTGTGCTGAGGGCTGAGGGAGGACTGGTCCTGCTTCTAGAAGCTTAAAGGTGGGCCTAGGGCCAACATCACACAACACTCGCGGCCTGAGCAGAGGACAGACCCTGGGGAGGTAGAGCTTACACATTCCACCGGCCCAGAGGCACAGGCCTGGGGACACAGGGAGAGGGGTGTCTCCGGGTCTCCCCAGGGGGTCTCGAGAGGTCTGGGCCGCTCCCCCCTCCCCACCAGAGCAGAGCACAACCACACGTCTCATTTATGAGGATTCCACGGACGGTTTCTTGCTGAAGGAAGGGCACCACAGCTGAAAACAAGGTGGGCACACGTGTCGCGTCTCGTTCTACGGAGGAGGGGGCGGAGAGAAGTGACTCGCCCAAGGTCACACTGAGAGTTGGGAGTCAACCAGTACTGTCACGAGTATTTCCTACTGGGTCACCTGTTTTAGGGCCTTCTCTTCGGAGAGGCCCCAGCATGGCAATCGGTTAATCAATCGGCCATTCAAAAGTATCCCGATCTAATCCTACGAGATTTCTGGAAAAAGGCACTAAACAGTATTAACAGAGGTCACTAGTAGAATAAATCGCTGGGCCCAAATCTTGACCGTAGCTTGTTTACAACATGGCCTGAGAAGCTGAGGTTTGGAACGCGTTCCGGGAAGCAGCGTGCCCTCGCGTTTACACGGCATGACCTCTATCTGGAGGAACAGACCTCTGCCTCTCAAGAAACGTGGGTAGCCGGCACTTGGTAACAAACCAGAGGGGCCCCTACCCACAGAGTTAAGGAGAATAAAAACAGCTGGCTGGGACAGAAGACCATGGTACCCAGGGGCTGCGAACGATTCTTCAGACAGTCCCCGCCCCCTAGGACTTTTATTTAGTTTAAATGTATGAGTTGACTGCACAACAGGTGAGCCCTCCAGGACACCTTGAAGCTCCCCTCTTTCTCCTGCCGCCCCTAGCTTGAGCGTCGGGGAGGCGGGCAGGCTCACCGTCATCCCGTCGGTCATGAACAGGACCAGGGCGGCTGTGATGTGGATGGCGAAGAAGGAGTAAGGGGCTCCTTTGAAGTTCTTCCTCTGCCAGCAGCCGAACAGGTCCTCGTGCCCTGGGCGAGACACGAGAACAGGGCTGAGTCTCAGCTTCTGCTCCTTCCCCTCTGCAGGCCCGGGGTAAGCGGCTGCCAGATGGGCGAGCCTGGCAGGTTGGGGACCAGTTACTGCCGCCCACCTTCCCTAACTTCCAGCCAGCTGTCAGGGACAGCTCCTGTCCATCTCAGTCCTGGTGGAAGCGAGGCTCAGGGAGATCACGTCACTTGCCCAAGGTCACACAGGCAGGCTGAGGCAGAGTGCAGGCTGGAGCCAGAAGCCTGCCTGCCCCACTCCTGCGGCCAGGCTGGTCCGTGTCTTGCCAAACGGGACCATCGGTGCCCGGGGTTTGCTTCCAACCATCATCGCCTGTGATCTACGTTCACCCTCCGGGGGATGGGGTCACTAGGGAAGCCTCGGTGTGGGGCCGTGAGCGTGAAAGTTCATTAGAGCCCCCACCTGGGTGTGGCTGAAACTTTGGGGGCAGTGAGGAGGCGTCTTCCTTCTCGGGAGGCTGCGTCTCCAGGGCCAGCTCATCTGCGGACAGGAGCAGGGGCCTCCTCTGAGGGCAGCAGGCCAGCAGCCGCTCTTTGGATAGCAGAAACAGCACAGCCATGGGCACCGGGAGCTGGGGGGAGGGGGGGTGGGCAGAGGGTCAGGAGAGCCCTGTTCCCATCAGGCTCTCCCCTTCCCGTGCTTCACCTGCACACACCACCACGGGGTCGACCGGCACGGGTCCGCACAGTCCTGAGAGAAGACGGTTCTTTTCTACGGGTGTCCACCTAAAGGCCATCCCCAGCGAATGCCACCAGGTGTATTGACTGTCCCACCTTAACCACATCCGTTTTTCTGAAGACAGCTCCTTGTCACATGCAAATCTTGGGACTCACACCAGGCCTCCCCGCTGGTACAGGAGAGATGTCAGAGATAAAGTTGTTTCTAAGGTCCTTATTCTGAACGGTGCCGAAGCGGGACCCCCCCCCCTTCATGCTGGGAGATCACATGACACCTCACGAAGAAGGTCTGCTTTGGTTCATTATCCCCATTTTCCAGATGGGGCGACCTGAGGCTCAAAACTGTCACTTCGTCATCACCCGTTACAACTGGAAGAGACCAGATCGGTAAGTGAGAGACCAGAGAGTGTTAGTGCCTGGTCACTGGCTGACGGGGGAGGGAAGGGCGGAGCTGGACTGGAGCCCGGGGCACCCTGATTCTGTCTGGTCAGACCCCACCTCAGGGCTTGTGTGGGTGATGTTATACCCGAGGAGGTAGAGGGCCTGTCCCCAGAGGCTCGCTGTCTAAACAGGAAAACCAGGACACGGACTCCTTTGCTGGAAAGATGCACGATCCGGGCAACACCCGCGCCCACGAGCCCGGTGTTGTGTGCGTTGCTATTTTACATCAAGCCACTTGGGTTTAGCGAACTCCTCAGGGCGATGAGAAATAGCTCCTACCCCTGCGGTTGCCTGGAGAAGCCTCCACCGCCTCCCTCAGGTGCCCTGCCTGCGTCTCACCGCCCTCACTGCCAGGAAGCTCCCCATCAAGTCTGCCCTCTGCTCTCCCTGCTGCAATATAAATCGAGTTCCTTTTGCTTAGGACAGAGAGGAAGCCCAGGGAGCTGTGCAAGTTGCCCAGAGCCCGCCGGGCATCTCCGCACTGACAGAGATGGGAGGCAGCTGGGCTGGTGCTGCTCTGAAGCGGTCTCTCCCTCCCTGGAGGCAGGCTGGTGCCCCGGGCTGGGGGGTGGCATTTACCCAGGGCTCCCGCCCCCCGAGGGCACCTTGGCAGCCTCCCTCCACACTCAAAGATAACAAGTCACACGCCCCGCAAATCAGGCCTCAGTGGGAGGAGACGACCCCTGCCCTCGGGAGTCCCAGGTCTGACGGGGGGAGTCACACCCTCCCTCCAGTCTGATGGGGGAAACAGGAAACCCACACACAGAGGCCTGCGGTGGCAGAATGCCTGGGTGAAGGCCGAGGGGAAACAGCTGTGAAAGAGCCCGGTCACTCCAGCGGGGCTTTCCAGGGAGGTGGGCGGTGGGAAGGGCTTCACAGAGGATTGGCTGGGGTTGCCTGGTAAGAACACAGCCTGTCTTTATAAGAAGCCCATTCAGAGAAGGCAAAGGCTCCACCTGGAGAGTCCAAGAGTTCTGGGGAGGCTGCCTGTGTGTGTGTGTGTGTGTGTGTGTGCGTGCGTCCACAAGCATGCACAGCCCCATTCTCTTCTGTGGTGGACTGTTTATCTTCAGAAACAAACCAACAAAAAAGTCCGGACATCCTGCCACAAACAAAGTGCCTCCAGGCTGCACCTCGTGGGGCGAGAGAAAACAGGGCTCGGGCTGACACTGGACCTTCCGGCTTCCTGGTCCTGGCGTCTCAGCTTTGACACGGTACTGATGGCGACGCTTCCCCTTACAGGTGCCCCCCTGGAGGGCACAGGCCCGAAGCTGGGTTGTTTCCAAAGCAGTGACAGGCATGGGCAGAAAACGGAAAGGGCGAGAGGGGGCGTGTGTTTTTCAGAGCCCCCGGTGAAGATTCTGGTACAAGGAAAGGAAAGTCACGAAGAAAGAAAAAACGAGCACTTGCTATGGGGCAGCAGGAAGGAGGCTGGTGCTGGCAGTCGGGGTGAGAGCCTGGCCAGTGTCTTGCTAGCCACTCATCGGGCCCTTGTGCCAGGGACGGCATGACGCCCCCTGCTGTGCTGCTCAGGGGGACTGGATGATCTCGAAGACCCCTTTCAGTGCTACGTGCACGGCATCGCAGCTGGGCAGCCACTGCAGAGCGGTGACAAGTGGGCCCAGAGCAAACCGAGGCCCTTCATCACGACGGGCCATATGTTGCCTCCATCCCGCAGCCGGGCCAATGGCCACCTGGAATATTCCGCACCCGCAGCCCAGGCCGGGCCGAGCCAGGGGGCCAGGGATGCTCCCGCTGTTCCTCGCGGTACTTCCCAAGCTGGAGAGAGGGTAGGGGCGTCTCCCCACCTGTCCCTCTGGCCCCAGCCTGGGCTACTGGCAGGGAATCTGTCTTGGGTTAAAGACCACCAGAGGTTTCCGGTCAGGGACAGAGTCGGTGCTGACAGGGAGGATGAGAGCCGGGGTGCAGAGGGGCCTCAGTACCTGACCCAGTACAGGCAGGTGGTCTCTCTACCCTGCTCCCACCATGGCAGCCATGGTGTGGTCATCTGGTTCATCCCTTGACCCCCACGGGAGCCCACCTCACAGCAGGACACAGGGGAATCCCACCGGCGATGAGGGAGCCCGGGGAAGAGCCCCAAACAGCCTGGGGTGCTCTGTCCCAGAGCCCCTTCATCTGGCCTTGGAGGGAGAGAGCTGGTTTCCCATGGAGCCTCGGATGGCTTAAAAGTTGACCCTGATTCCGTTGTGCTAAAGCTGCTCGTGGCTTTACCTCCCTGGAGAATCGCAATCATGGATTGTGACAACTGAGGACCTTCAAGATGATCTCCTGCGACCCCGTTTGTATTCAGATGCATCCCTGGGGGGGGGGGCTAGTCTTCCCTCCCCCTTGCCTTCCTGAGGGCACGCTTGAGCCCAGCACACTGCTCGGAATCATAAGAATCTACACTGGGAGCTGCTATGGACTGGCACGTGTGACGGTCCACTTGTCCCCACCCGGCCCTGCCCCGGTGGCACTCACATTGATCAGGGCCATGATCCAGAAGGCATACGACACGCGGGTCCCTGCCCGGTCCTGCGCAGGCAGCCCGGAGAGCGAGTGGTTGGACCAACGCCACGCCTCGGTGTGGTGCTGGCCTAGGACCCTGGAGGCGTGGAACAGGTGGCTTCCAGAGGTGGCATTGGCCGTGCCGTTGGCAGGCAAGCAGTTGGCCTCAGACAGGAAGGGGTCAGCAATGAGGGGGCTCAGCAGGGCGCCAAAGCCCACAAAGAAATGGAGGACCTGGAGGGGGGAGGAGACGTGGTGTGGGTGGGGGAATGGCTCAGGCTTCATACCCTCCCCCCCCAACTTTGTGTTCCATCTGGGGAGTGCCTGCCTGGCCCCAGAGTGGGGAGCGATGGGGACACAGCAGAGATGAGGGCAGAAGTTCCTCTCAGTCACCTTCTTGTCCGGGGATAACTGGGTGACAGTGGCCAATTCCCTCCCTCCCGCTTCCTTCTTTCCCAGATCTTAACTCCAGCTGGGGGCTGTTCCCATGATAACACCTACCAGCTAACACCCCAAAGGGAAGGGAGCTTGATAGAGGGAAGGGCTGGATAGGAAGAGAAATACAGAGACGGGCAAGGAGCTGAGAAAACAGCAAGCCCTCCCGTCACGGCACACTCTGATCCACAAAGCACCTCTTCTCTGGAGCACCTGGGTCCCTGGGACCACCCTGCACGCAGGGAGCACGGCCCTACTTTAGAGCTGAGGAGGCCCGAGTCCAGAGGTAGCGGCCCAGTGTGGCCCAGCTGGAGGTGGCCACATAAAACCAAGACCCCAGTGCTCTTTTCTCTTTCTGCATTACCACCTGGCCTCCGGTAAAAGACGCCTCACCCCAGGGAGGGGGCTGGGAGAGGTGGACAGGTTCCCGGGAGCTCCCCGTGACCACCCAGCCCCGTGGCTGCGTGCAGGCTCACCTGGAGGAAGATGGCCGAGTCCTTCTGGTAGACCCTCACCAGCTGCATGTTGGCCACGGTGTCGATGCAGCCCATGGCTAGGCCCGCCAGTGCCATGACAGAGGCCAGCACCTTCACATCTCGACAGAAGGGGATGATGGCAAACACCAGGGAGATGGCCAGGGATGAGGTGAAGAGGGCCCATAACGACTGGGCCAGGCTACGGTAGCAGAGGGGTGAGGTCAGGGGAGGGGCCCCGGGGCCTTCAAATAAAGAGCCCCCTCCTTGTCCCCCGCTCGCTGGGCAGCCTCAGGGGAAGCTTCTGGTAGAGGGGGGAGGGGGCTGCTGAAGAAGCTCTGTCACTTGTTAGCGAGGGGTTCACAGGCGAGATGTCTCTTGTGCCCCAGTCTTCTCGGGTAACAAGCCCTACCTCATAGGGCGGCCGTAAGAACTCAAGAAACCGTGTGAAGCGGCACGTGATGGCACTTAGCAAAGCGCACCTGCTATGATTTTACTTACAAGCGAGTTTCAACTTCAAATTGTTTGCGGATAGGGGCGTCTGCCTGGCTCAGCCAGTAGAGCGTGCAACTCTTGATCTCGGGGTTGTGGATCTGAGCCCCACATTGAGATTACTTAAAAAGAAAACCTTTAGGGCGCTTGAGTGGCTCAGCCGGTTGAGCAACCAACTTCAGCTCGGCTCAGGATCTGAGTTTGAGCCCCACATCTGGCTCGCCGCTATCAGCGCGGAGCCTGCTTGGGATCCTCTGTCCGCCCCCACCCCGCCCCGCCCCTGCCCCGCTCCCACCCTGCCCCACCCCTGCCCCGCGCTCTGCCTCTCAGAAATAAACGTCTACAGATAAATATTTTTAAAAGCTTATAAATAAATCAATGGCTTACTTAGAAAAGATTACATACAAAGATATTTCTGCTCCTCTCATGGATGTACAGGAGGAGCCTGCTTCGAGCGTCTCATGGGTACGGTGCCGAACGCATGAAACTGGAGGTGGGACCCGGGGTGGGACCCGATTTCCAAAACATCCCCTCCCACCCCCCAGCGGGGCTGCAATGCGCTCTTCCCACACAGGAATGGCAAGACGGCCAGGCCCTTTGTAGGCGCCAAGCTAAACCACCTGAACCAAAGCCCACGGCCGAGGTCTTTGGGTAATTTGGTGCCTCCCCACCTTGGACAGAGATCTTGACTCTCCAAGTGTCTGGAAGGGAGGCCCGGTGGCTGTCCTCACTGAGAGGTGTCTGGGAGGTGACTTTCCCCCAGAGGAGCCCACAGCAGGCAGGCTGAGGGCCTGTCCCCCCATGAGTGAGTAAATGGAATGTCTAGGGCTCTCTCAAGATCTTTTTGGTACCCCCTACCTAACAAGCAGACTCTGAGCAAGGAAGGATGCCTTGTATTTTCTGGAACCAGGCTGAAAGGCTAATGTGAGTGAAGGAGGTTGGGCAGCAAGAAGGTTCTGGGGATGCCTGGCCTGCTCAGTTGGCAGAAGATACTACCCTTGATCTCAGGGTTGGGAGTTCAAGCCCCAGGTTGGGCATGAAACCTACTTAAAAAAAAAAAAAAAGAAGGTTCTGGAAGACAGAGGCTATAAAGGAAATTTCTCAGATTATGAACAGCTGTTTTGGCAGCTGGACCTGGAGAGGTGGGCGGGAGGAGGGGTGTGTGGCCAGAAGACATATGTGAGTTTCCAGCACATTAAGGAAAAGAAGGGGGCCCCCAAGAGAGCCCTCGGGCTGCGTCCTTCACCAGAAGTGCTTGCCTCTGACCCCCCGGGGCCCTCAGCGTCTCCTTCTGGCCCATCTTTGCTTAAATCCTTTATCAGAAGGGCTCTGCTGATAGCATCAGTTATTTTCTCTTTTCTTGTTTCCGGGCTGATCTGCTGGGCAGATAACTGATCACGTTCCCTGCCTGATCCCAACCCTGCGTGAGCAGGGAGAGGGGACTCCCTTCACCTCGGCCACTAGGAGGAGGACAGGGAGGGCTGTGTTGTGTGGGGAGGCCTGTTGAGGTCTTTCCCGGGTTCCCTCCACCATCCTGTTCCCTCTGGCATCCTCCCCCACCCTGCTCTGCAGGTCCCCGGTGCTGACAGCCTGGACTGCTCACTGAGGTTCATGCATTTCCGCCTCCTGCAACCTGGCCTCCGAATCTCCCTTTCCTCCCCGGTGCCCAGCACAGAGGCGATGCCCACTTCTCCACAGGTGATGAACACAGCAAGCTTCTCATTATAGCTCTCTCTCTCTCTCTCTCTCTCTCTCTCTTTCCCTTTCCTCTGCCTGCACAAGGATCTCAGGGTTGGGAGTTCAAGCCCCATGTTGGGCATGGAACCAGCTTCATCCTGGCTGGCCTCACTTCAGGGATGGCAAGAGGGTCCCCTGTCTCCCCTTCAGATATTCTCCCCATTGAGCTGGCACACGGGATGGCTTGCCCTTTCCACCACCCCACTCACCACTTTACGGTAACGCATGGAGGTCCCACGTCAAGGGCACACACTCTCTTAAAGAATTAACACATTATCATTATTGCCCTGAGAAACCTAGACGAACGTGGTTAATGATCAGCCCTGTAGCAAAGTCCCAGGATCGGGCAACTGAGAGGGAAGGAAGGCTGCGAGACAAGAAAATGACAACTAACGTGCTTACGGTGCCGGAGACATTTGGTGCACACGACAGTGCCCGCGGGTAGGCTTCGCAGTTGTGCCTCTTTGACCCCCCAGTAAACTGAGGCAGAGAAAGACTGCAAAAGCCACTGACAGTCTGGACTCAAACCCAGATCATCTTGATAACCCCTATGCCATGCTGCTTTTCCATGGAGGAGACAGAGAGAGAGAGACAGCGGCAGAGACAGAGCTTGCGCTTGCTGCTGGGCCACAGACTCAGCAGGGCTGGGGAGAGGGGCGGCCAGAAGAGAGCAGGGGCCAGAGTCAGCAGAGCCTCGTTTGGCAGGCTTAGAGGCAATGGGGGAACAGCTGTTCACCGGAACATGAGCCCCCAGGGGTCCCTCTGCTGGTGTCATGGCAGCTCCAAACCCTTCGTGTTATAACCGCTGGCCCCACTGCAGGCCTCCCAAGGCATCCGCTGCAGCCATTAGTGCAGAGGCCCCCATGCCTGGCACCTTGCTCGGCCCTGAGAAGGTGCGCCCTCCGGGGCTGCTGGATGTTGCTGGTCAAATGAGAAACGTGCTTGAGGAAGCTCGTCTTGTGACCCCACACAGGACGGCCTGGAGACTTGGGAGGCTGATGTGGGAGTTGTACGGGGTGACACTCAGACGGAGTCAGAGACAGAGACCGAGAGACAGAGGCAAGACACGAAGACTCAAGTAGGGCCCGGATGCCAGTGGAGCAGCAGGAGGCTGGGGAGATGGGAGGGGGATGTGGAGGGCTGGGGTCATGGTGGGCTGCCCGTCTAGGCCTCTCCTCTCCCCTATTGTACCCTCCCACCTCGTCATTTCTGAGAAGGACACTTGATGCCCATGGCAGGGGTGGGGGGGAGGGATTTTTGTTCCCAGGCCCAGCGACGGACAGGAAAGGATAAGGAGAAAACAGAAAGGAGAGGCTGGAGGAAAACTGGCCGGGGGAGGCCCCTTCCTGCATCTGCTACCAGCCCCTGAGCCATGATCTGAACCTGCCGCCTACCAGCCGGGCTGCAGAGGGCTAAGCCCATACCGGGCCTGCGGTTCCCGGGCACTGGGAAATGGAGACGTGTCCCCAGTAAGCGGGAGCAGCCGTAGCACAAGAAAGCCTGTGTTTCAATCCCGGGCTGCCCGCCCCCCCCAGTCTCTCCAGCAGGGCTATGCCTGGGCATTCCAAAACCCAGCCTGAACAAATTTCTTTAGATCGGAACATTGCTGCCAAGAGACAAGAAGTCCCAGATACACCCCAGAGCCAGACTGAAATATACTAATTGGCTTGGTCACTTAATGGTTTAGTCAAAGGCCCCTTCTAGGAATGTGGGTAATTTCAAAATTATGGAATAATAATGTCAAAACAGCTTTGGCAGCACGGATGTAGTGGGATTTGTAGTCAGACTGGTCCTCGTGTAGACAAATGTCAAATCTCTATGTTGTACACTTGGAACGACATAATATGTATGTCAACTATACTTCAATAGAAAATTTTCAGAAGAGGGGGCACCTGGGTGGCTCAGTCAGTCAAGCGTCCGACTCTGGATCAGGTCGTGATCTCACGGCTCTTGAGTTCGAGCCCCGCATCGGACTCCGTGCTGACAGCTCAGAGCCTGGAGCCTGCCTCGGATTCTGTGTCCCCCTCTCTCTCTCTCTGCCCCTCCCCTGTTTGTACTCTGTCTCTCTCCCCTTCAAAACTAAACATTTTTAAAAGATTTTTAAAAAAGGAAAAGAAAATTGAAAAAAAGACTGGTCCTAGACCTACCTCTGTCACTTCCCAGCAGGCGGCTCCGGACGAGGCACTGACACATCGCTCCTTAGAGCCTCGGTTTTCTCCATGATAAAATGGGGCCAGTAAGCTCTGTCTCCTGAGGCTGCCGTGCGGAGTCAGTGTGATGCTACAGTCCTTGGCTCACTCGCTGGGATTTGGCCCTGGCCACTGGCAGTCCCCCTCCTCGGTGCTCACCCCCCTCCCTGCCAGCAGCCAGGCCCAGGGAAGTCCGCTCAGCAGAGATGGGTGCCGGCTCCTGGATTCTCTGTTCCCACTGCAGCGCCCTCTGGGGTGACCCTGGGAGGCTGGTGCGGGAACTGCTGGAGTGGCAGCTAGGACCTAAGAATCCTACCCCTCACTGTATAGATCAGAAGCCAGGCCCAGACAGGGGAAGAGAGTCAGGATCCGGTTTTTGGACTCTCATTCCAGGCTAAAGCCAGCATCGTGTTATTGATGTTCCCTCCCCTGATCTCGAACTCAGAGGTTAATTCAGACCAGTTAAAGCGGGGGCGGGGGGCAATCCCCCAAGGCCTGGGGAGATGTAGGAACAGCTTAGACCGTGGAGGGAACCCTTCCTCAGGAAGCCTGAGAAATGTCCAAGTTACTCATTGACGGCTCCAAGTGGCAGGTGAAACAGGGGAGAGAGAGCAGGTCCTCCCCCAGCCTGGCGGTGGCTCTGCGGGAGGTGCCCGCCCCACCAGTTTGCTGTGTGACCTTGAACACGCTGCTGACCCTGTCAGCCCAGGTGCTCTGCTTTAGCCAGAGGGCACACGTGATCACCTTGACCTGGCGTTGCCAGGAGTGGCGGCTCTGGCCCTCC